CCCCCCCCCCGAATATCTTGATGGATCATTACATTTTTCTAATGAAAATGTGTTGTCTTTTCATTATGTCAATTTGTCATAATGCGGCTAATAGATAGTACTGAAACAGTATAAGGGGGAACAAAATCCGTGAAATTTTACCAATTCGAGAAGCCTTAAGATTTGCCAACAAGAACACAAACAGCACACTGACTAGGAATAAAGCTCTTCAAAATATATTTTGCAAGATCTTCTTATAACAAAGCCAAAAGCCATGCAATATGTTGTTCAGTCCAACTGGCTGTCAAATGTTCAGTCCAACAGTGAGGTTTCACATCCGGAGCTAATTAAGCTTCTTCAGATTACAATCTCCACTTAGTCAACCTTGCAAACGTAGTTCCTGCCAATCTTCTTCAATCTCTTCGGTTGTTGACATGTTAATTATTATTCCCCGACTTTAATAAGGCATGCCATGTGTCATATACAACAATAACCGAGATGAATTCACACCCAGAGGAAAGAAGAATATTAAAATTGGCCAATACAACAAAAACAAGTAGCTAAAAATCGTAAACGACAGCGAAATATCACAACTTGCAATTTGACAATTCCATTTATTGCAACGCATCCCGGGAAAAGCGGTTATTATTCCATTTCTCGAAAAAATGGCGGTCGGGAAATGTGGATTTTACACGAAGCTATATTTTTTAATTTTACTGTTTTATGTTTCGCACTAAAGAGACTGGTTTAAAAGTTTTATTTTTAGAAAAGTGATAAGGAAAATTCGACGTATGCTTGTACGCGAAATCTCGTCCATAATTCGCGAAAAAAATGCTATCGAGTTGACACATGAGTGAAGCACATTTGGCAAAAAATCTGGCTTTGAAACTACTCTTTCGTACGCTTTGAAGTAAATGAAGTGATCGGTAAGAGCACATTAGACAATTTACCCCTTCAAATTAAGCTTTGCAACCAAGGAAGCTAGATTTATTGTTTCTGTGTATTGTTGTGAATAGAGGGATCGATTATGAAGAGACAGGAGAAAATGGACTGCAAATATATATCGATGGTTTCTTGGTTTACTTTAAAAACAAAACTTAACATAAAACTACAAAACATGAGGTGCACGAGCAATCTATATGGCCATGCACTGAATACTTATCTATGACAACCTCCGGGGGGTGTTAACATCCATTCTGATATTTTCTTTAAGGCGTTCTTTGCTAGTGCTGTTCTTCTACTTCTGATCCCTCGAGGTTGTTGTACTTCTCCATCCTCCAATTTATTTTCTGTTTTGAATGGAAACAGTATCTGCTCGCATTTCAAGTGGATACAATCTCGCGATGGGATCTGTTTTTTCGAACCGTTGACGTACGTAAGTTTGCTGCTCGGATAAGGCCGTCGTTTCCCCGGCTTAAAAAGATCTTCTATCACAGCAAGCTTCCATCTTATTGTTGGACTATAGTCGTGGATCAAGGCTACTTCTCCGCTACGGATGGTTTGTTCGTTTTTCCAGGTCGTTTTATTAAATTCTCGAAGAGAAGTAAGGTATTCAGCTTTCAATCGTGACCGAAAACGTTGGAGTATATAAGTGCTTGTATATGGGCTCTTCTTGTCACGACTCACTTCTATAGACAAATCTAAACATTTTCCTCTCTGGTAGGTGTTTTCACAAAGAGTGCACCTGTAAAATCTACGCCAGTTACTGAAAACGAGTCTTGGAACACGCCATTTAGGTAAAGGTGCTGGATCTGGGATTGTATAGAGTTTGCCATCTTGTTTTCGGCCATACGTCGCATTTGCGTAGCAGTCTCGTGATAACTTCTCTGGCTCTTGGCATCCAGAATTTGTCACGAAGGGCAGTTAGAGTTGAATTAACGCCAGAATGCAGTTGAGCAGTGTGTATATAGAGCGGATGATAAAGGTGGTTAAAGGGTGATTTACAGGCAGCAGAATTCGAAACCCTGGCTGATTGGTTGGTGGGAGCGTTGTGGACTCGTCCTCGACAGCTTTTAACGCGGCGTCGGTCAAGGAATAATTTTAGTTGAATGACTAAACGTATAAGCGATAACTGTTCTTTGTGATTTGGTTAAGAAGCTCGGCAGGGTAGGATGTTTGCTGGGGCCAATGCTGGCAACACTGTATCCGAAGGCTCTCGGCTGTACAAACAATGTTTTTTTCATTGTTTTGATATTTTTTATTTTTTCCTTATTTGTTATCATCAGGCAAATTCCAAGTTTAGCCAATCAGAGTTCAGCAAGTGACTTGAGCGAGTCAATAGCATTTCGTTTTTTGATAGATAGATAGATAGATAGTTTAATTAAAAAGTTTACATTGCAGCTCATAAAAGCTGAATTGCGTAACCTATTTACAAGCTATTAATAATTAACACGAATTTAAAATTACATTAGATGCCAAGTTTAGATATTAGACAGTTCAAGAAAATGTTTAACTACAAAGGTCAAAATGTTGCAAAGACTTGCACATCGAAGGAATAAAAGTCCGCTTAAAGCGTTCAGTGCGTATCATTGGAATATTGAAGACTCGCTTCTTTCTAATGTCGTAGTTTTCCTCTTGCAAAGGAGGTAGAAGATTGTGTAACTTATGAGATTCCGAA